AACAACGTCATGGCTCTGACAAATAGCGCCATGAATGAACTGTGCAAGATTCTTCTTGTTACTGAGCTCAGATTCCACTGCAGAAAACAAATGAAACGAACCTTCCACGTGACCACGGCCTTCAACAAAACTGGCCAGGCTGTAGTCCAATACTTTTGTGGCCAGACCGACGAACTTCCCTTATCGTGCGACTCTTTCAAAGTAATGAGAGATGATAATTCAATTTTAGCAAGACGTTGCAATGACTGGGGAGATGACGGTGCGCAGACACAAGTCGGGACGTGGGGGCATTACCTCACCGCCACTGACCCTGACGATGGAAGGTTGTACAGTTTCGCGGCATTTATTGGGAACACCTCTTATTGGCACTTAAACCCGATCGAACAACTGTTATTATGTGATGATAACGGATTAGAATTACCCGGGCTATATGCTGGCGATTTCTGGAAAATATATGCGCGCTAAGCTATGCTTTAAAGATACTTTGGCGTCTTTTTCATTTAACAAATAGATTCCATTTTGACGAGTGTCTGTTCAGTAGATCACAGTGTTAAAATTGTTTGGTATCGCCACTACAGTTGAATCTCGATTATTCGGACCTCGGTTATCCGGATTTCTCGATTGTCCGGACTTTTTCTCTGGTCCCATTTTTTTCATGAATATTCAATAATATTAGTCGTGTTCAAGATCCGTAGCCATATTATTTTCAAAACTACAACGTTGAAAAGTGAAGTAAAGGCGATGTTCTTCTTTAAGGCAAACTGACTTACTTCAACATTTTAGGCCGATGTATAAATATTTCATTGATTTTAATTGTTAATACATACGTTTAGAGGTATTCACTTAGGACAGTAAAGATGTAGACCACGTCTCAGTTTTAAAACGATTCGTAGATTTTTTGTTTCAGGATTAAATTTCGCTTTCTTATTTAATCAGTTTTTTGTTCCTCATTAATATTCATATTCTCGATTATCCAGACTATTTCGTCCAGTCCAAATAAGTTCGGACAATCAAAGTTCGACTGTATCAACATCACATATCATTTATTATTAATCCTTCCATTTTGAGTGTTTTAATCATTTTAGAGAGCTAGAACCCCTCAATTACTTGGAAAATGTTTTGGATATGATAAAGTGTGTGTCAGTCTTTGTATCAGTCGGAGCGGCTGTTGGTAGCTTGAGCGTTTCGCAGCAAACCTGAAACAACTGCGAACCGACTTAGAAATTGACTGTGATGATAGATAGTGCAAGGAACGAGATTTCAGTTTATTTAACTAAAGGCTCACAGCACGAGTTGTAAAAATTATAATGCAATACCCACTGTAATCAGGGACGATGCACAATGGAAAAAATTAAACAGTGATAATAAGCGCCTAAAATATTAAAGTTGACGACACTATTTGTCGAGACATGAGCGTGCGTTGTAGGCGTTCTGACTGCCTTACATTGGGGGTGGGCATAGATTTCACTTCGTCCATGTGATCTGGTCGCAGCCTCCAACATAACACGGCTTAACTGTTAACTTTCATGCACTAATATACATGCTCTGGTTTATGTAGTCCACAATGACCTATCAACAGCTAGAGGTACATGTACCAAGTATAATCTCGTTCCCATGGACTTTTTTCCCTCCCACCCCACCCCCAAGTAAGGGAAAAGGCCATGGGAACGAGGTTGGTGCTGAGTAAACTGTTTATAATTAACACTCTTGGATAAGAGTAAAAATTCTCCGACTCATAAACTTACTCTTAAAAAAAGAGTACTCAAACAGTTGTAATGTATCAAGGAGGTGCAGATTCTGTTTCTTTGAATTTAAATTAACCCTCTCAAGTAATTCTTGATAGTCACGAATAAAACAGATACTGATCCAGAGATCAAACACGAGTGTACGAATACTATTTCTGAAAATTAATGAAAATAATTTTTAAGCGTAAAAATCATATATAAGTTCACGAATAAGATGAGCCGAGATGATATGCCGGGGGCTCGGTGTATGAGATATGAAACACTTTTTTTTCGAAACTTACCTTTTTTAGTCTCGTTCTTGCTCTGAATATGCTTTACTCAGGACTAGAAGAATTAGGTCTGCAAATTTCTGCTAATGTTGAATGTTTCGCTAGGAACCAGTTGCAAGGTACTCTGGAACTAGCTATAAATTAATGTTAGATATCTTCCAATTACGTTTAGTAACTTCATTTCGTCACAGAAAGACAACGCAGATCTGAAAAATTACTCATCACTCAAATAAACACACACACGCAAAACAAAACAAACAGAAAAAAA